TAAACCCTAAACCCTAAACAGGTGTTTCCGGTCATTTTAAGGGAGTTGAGGGGTTCAGGGGCTCAAGAGTTCAAGGGTTTAGGGCTTCAGGGGCTGAAGTGTTTAGGGTAAAGGGTTTCGGGCTTAGGGTTGAGGGTTTTTAGGGTTTTTAGGGTTCAGGGTTCAGGGCTTTAGGGTTTAGGGCTTTAGGGGCTGAAGGGTTTAAGGGTTCAGGGCTTCGGCGGCTGAGTTTTGATTCTTCTACAGCTGCTACGGGCGTCTGCGCTTGGGTTTAAAACGAAGGGTCCCAAAAGGATGCGTCGAGTCTTCTGACTGGTGGGCTTAAGGCCGGAAACCCTAAACCCCTAAACCCCTACACCCCTAAACCCAAAACCCTAAACCCTAAACCCTAAACCCCCAAAACCCTAAAAACCCTAAACCTCAAACCCTAAACCCCCAAAACCCTAAAACCCTAAACCCTAAACCCCCAAAACCCTAAAGACCCTAAACCCTAAAAACCCTAAACCCAAACCAATGTTTTCGAAGTATTCTTCGAGCCACGCCCGGCTCGGGCTCGGGGCTTCGGGGCTCCAGGTGATCTTGGTCTCAGGGAGCCTACCTACTTGGGCTCCTAGAACTTTTAAGGCAAAACTGTAGGGGTGTAGGAGTTTATGGTTTCCCTAAACCCTAAACCCTAAACCCTAAACCGTAAACCCTAAACCCTAAACCCTAAACCCCTTTTCTGGGAAAAGCTGTAGGGGGTGTAGGAGTTTTCGGTTTCGGGTGGGTTTTCTAGGACAAGGTTCAGGGCATAGGACTTAAGGGGCTTAGGATGGGTTTTCAAGAGGGACAGTCGACTCTAGGGTTTCGGGTAGGGTTTAAGGTTTAGGGTTTAGGGTTTAGGGTTCAAGGTTTAGGGTTTAGGGTTTAGGGTTTAGGGTTTAGGGTTCTGACACAGCCGGGATATCGGAGCTGGGGTCTCCGGTCAGGGCCAAAAACAGCCAGGAGACGGACTTGGGGGGAGGGGTTTAGGGTTTAGGGTTTAGGGTTTAGGGTTTAAGGTTTAGGGTTTAGGGTTTAGGGTTTAGGGCTTGGCGTTTAGGGTTTAGGGTTTAGGGAAACCGACAGCCTCGGCCCCTTTGGGTGCCCATACTTTGGCCAGGAGACGGACTTGAAGGTCTTGCTGTTGGCGCTGCACGTGCCTTTCCCAGAAGCAAAGTACCTCGGCTGCAAAGGACGTTAGGGTTTAGGGTTTAGGCTTGAGGGTTCAGGGTTCAGGGTTTAGGGTTTAGGGTTTAGGGTGTAGGGTTTAGGGTTTAGGGTTTAGGGTTATGCGCCACATGCAAAAGCTACAAAAGCGTGCAAAAATCACCAAGCACAACACCATTGCAGCTGCGCCACGCGGTCCAACCTCCCCCCAGCTCGCTGTCCGTGGCCTGTCCTGCGAGTCCGATGCCGATGGCTGCGTCGGCGTCGTTGCTGTCGTCATTCTGGCAGCCCTGGCTGGCGCAGTTGAGGCAGAAGCCCCAACGAGCCTTGTTGCCATCGTTGCACTCGATGTTGAAGCCAGGCCTCGCGTGGAACCGATCACAACAGAAGGAGCAGTCGGAACAAAGCCTCCAACAGCGAACATGTAACTTTGTGTCCTGGCCTCTGCATGGGACAGTCCTGGTATGATCCCTCTGCAGGGCCGAATTTCTTGAGAATCTCGTCCCGCTTCACGGTTTCGTCTCGAATGTACCCTGCGCTGAAAAGGGTCTTTGCGTTCTTGTACTTCTTGGAGAAGACGTGCTCCACGCAGTTGGATCCCGGGCTTCCGATGCACATGCGAACCTTCTTAAAGGGCACCGTGTTGAACGCGTCGTACTTGGCATCCTCCTCGGTCGCCATTGGCGAACCTGATGTTGAATACAAGAATCTGCCGCGAATCCCTCAGCGCCCAAGCTTTTCATCGGCTTCCCCGCAAGCCTTAAGCTTCCCGGCATTGCTTTCTTTCAAACCCTTCCTCACCCCCCTTGAAGCCTCTATAGAACTGTTACAAACATGTATAGAACTTCTAAACCCCCTAACAACCCTTACAAGACCTGTATAGAACTTCTGAACCCCATAAAAACCATATAAAATCTGCGCAAAAACTCCATGGAACCTTTGTAAAACCTGCCCGCGGGCCTAAACCCTAAACCCTAAGCCCTAAACCCTATAGGCACTAAACCCTAAGCACTAAACCCTATAAGCCCTAAACCCTGAACCCAAAAAGCCCTAAACCCTATAAGCCCTAAACCCTAAACCCGAAGCCCTATAAGCCCTAAACCCTAAACCCTAAACCCGAAACAAAAAGACGGAAGCTGGTGGGCCTGAATTGAGCAGGTCGTCAGTCGTCCAGAGCGGCGAGGAGAACCCCAGGGTGGCAGTCTTGCCAACCTTCATCGCCAGCTCCCAGTGACCCTGCAGGGTGTAGGGTTTAGGGTTTAGGGGTTTAGGGTTTAGGGTTTAGGGTTTGGGGGTTTGGGGTTTGGAGTTT